GAGCTGCCTTCGGGGGTGCCCCGTGGGGCTCGGACTCTGGGGAGAGCTCCCGCTTCTCCGGCCTGCGCTTTGGCAGTGGGTTGTTTGGTTAATACAGCTCAAGCAACCTGTGGTTTGCAGCTTGCGGCGTGCAGCCCGGGCCAGCCTGCACAGGAGGTGCAAGTGCGTGGCACTTGGAAGTGGTGGAGTTGAGCAAAAGTGTCACCTAATGGACATGCAGTCAGGAAGAATTACATCACGACAGGCAGTCTTGTAGTGCGGTCGTTAAGGTTTGGAGAAGGCCAGAAGCATTCTGCATTTACGGATCTGTTGTATGCACCTATCTGGCGGTGTGCTTTTATAGGGGGTCTCTGAGCAGTACTAGTTCCCTCTCTCTGAGAGTCCAAAATACACGTTTGCTTTATGAATGAAGCTGGTCTATGCCACAGTGCAAAGTTAAGACAACAATCAGTCAGGTGTCCTGAGGACAGCGAGCTTTGAAATGGGAAGAAGGGTCTGATGTGCACAGTTGTAGCATATCTGTCAATCACAGGGTCATTGTCAACCAAGGAAGAGGGTTAAGCCTTATTTGAAGCCCAGTGGGTATGGATGTGTTAATTGGGAGTAGGATTAAAAATAGCTAAAATCACTTTCTTATGTCCTGGCATCCTTTGTGTGGGTAGGTGATAGTGTGGATAAGTTACAAGCATGTCTCAAACTACCGCTTTTCTTTCTGCAGCCAAAATGAAGTTCAATCCATTCGTGACCTCAGACCGCAGCAAGAACCGCAAACGTCACTTCAATGCCCCTTCTCACATCCGGAGAAAAATAATGTCCTCCCCGCTCTCCAAGGAGCTGCGGCAGAAATACAACGTCCGCTCTATGCCCATTCGGAAGGATGACGAAGTCCAGGTACCTGCGCTGTTTGTCTCTTGAGTTGTGCCGTCACACGTGAACTTCTGGCTGGTTTATGTTTCATTTATAGGCTGTGCGAAAGGAAGGGGCTGAGCAAATTCACATTGATGCTGGAACTGTGCCACGAGTCTTGCATCATAGACTTGGGGCTGCTGAACGTTTCTTGAGGTCACATCAGTGACAAGGAACGTGCAAGGAGCACATTATATTTTTCCATTGTAGTGATTGCTGAAATTGTCCAGTAATTGATGTCTTTGTGGCAGGTGTATACAAAGAGCAGAGCTGGGATTTCAATCTGTGGAGTTCTGTTGGTTTTGTTGGCATAAGTAGATGTGGTAATTGTTTAAGGGCTGCTTCCTGTGTTGTGCTCAGGTTGTGCGGGGACACTACAAAGGACAGCAGATTGGGAAGGTGGTCCAGGTGTACAGGAAGAAATACGTCATCTACATTGAGCGTGTGCAGCGGGAGAAGGCGAACGGCACAACTGTCCACGTGGGGATCCATCCCAGCAAGGTACAGTGCATGAAGTGGGATCTGAAACGCACTAGGAGACCTTGCTGGCAAAGGATGCTGCTGCTGCTGCTGCAGGAGTAGCACCTTGTCACGGCACGTGGAGTAATGAATGGAGATACTTCAGCATTGGGGGATAATAAACAAGGAAACGGTGTCATGGTAGTAGAAAAGTGAATTGAAACCGAGAATTCCTTAATGTTTCTAGAGCTTATTTGGTGCAGATGCTGCTACAGACTTAGAGTCTTGCTAAAATACTTTGAAAAGCTTGGTATGCACAAAACGGATCTTTTAGAACAAACCATCATTGCTACGTGGCATTTGCACTGGTTAAGCAGGTGTTAGGAATGTTTGGATAGATGCTCAGAATTGTGATTTGTTCTTGTGTGCTGTTGTGAACTAAGTTCTGAACCTGGTTTAAGCCTAAAGTGATTTAAGATGTTTAGAGTTCGTGAAAACAGGGCAAAGCCTGTTTAGATCATAACAGGGAGACGTTTCAAACTAAACAAAACAACCAGCCCAAACCTGGTTTGAAGCAGATGAAATTAGTCTGCTTCAGCCTTGGGTTGTGGGGACATGAACTGAAGTGCTGGTGGAAGAAATCTAGTTTTAACAGGTATTCTGATCTAAATGGTGAGTATGTTCAGCAGAGGGAGAGCAAGGGTATTCCAAAACAACATAATGGTTTGTGTGTAGTAGTAACATTTGATGGACAAGATGACATTGCAGTGGAGTCAGCATGCATATTGCTTGTGTGGTAAATAGCAGTGAAAGAAATGGCCTTTTGTGCTGATCCTTTATTGCTGTGAAAGTTTTCTTTAATTGGGAATCAGACCTTAAAGATTCTGGTTATTAATGCAAAAGGAACAGAAGAATGCAGTGGGGTGGATGTACAGTTCTTACCTCTCTTAGGTAAAGAGGTAGAAATTAGTTACAATTATGAGATACCTACATGCACAACGGTATTGAGGAGGAGTGTGCAGCCCTGCTGAAGCCTATATGGTTCCTCTAGGATTTGGTTGTCAGTTGTATTTTTAAAGTACTCCTTTCAGTAATATCAGCAGATTTATATATTTGGCAGTTCAAGGGGGCACAGGGAGCACTGAAGGCCAAAAATTAGGCTTTGTTAGAAAACCGCTGAGGCTGTGGCAGCAGATGGGCTGTGCAGTTTATCTTTTCATGTGTCCCTGTTGGTAGTAATTGATAGTTGCCTGGCCACCTCACATCTTTGTCTTTACATGAGTCACTGTGGTGCATGGACTTCTGCTGTGGCCTGTAGTTCAGGCAGATGCATGGGCTGTTCCAAACAGTACAGCAGTGGTACGGTAACAGCCAGCAGCAGCAGCGGCTTTCCAGTGTTCCAAAATTTAGGTAATGGTGTTTAAAACAGAGAGAAATTAAACTAGTGATCTGTGACGTGCTTTTGTGGTGGTGAGATCAGCTGTATGCTGCGTTTCAGGTGGATGCTTGAGCAGCATAATGGAAATGAGATTTACTTCAAAGCAATCACTTTATTATGTAGTTAATGGAAATTTGGCTGCTCTTCAATTGGTACATTTGGTTGTGTATCGAAAGCAGCTGTCCATAGACCCTGATCCCTGAATGTACCTGGGACAGTTGTGACATACAGAGGCAATTGAGTTACCTCAGTCCTACCTGAACAAAACAAGATGGTCTGTGGAAATAGCACTTGTGTGCCAGGCCTGATCTTCCCGGGCCATGCTGTTACCACAGCTCTGTCAGGTTGCTGTGCTTCAACACTGAAATGACACTAAATTCTTTGTCCTTTCTCTAGGTGGTGATCACCAGGCTAAAACTGGACAAAGACCGCAAAAAGATCTTGGAGCGTAAAGCAAAATCCCGCCAGGTTGGCAAGGAGAAGGGCAAATACAAGGAAGAAACGATCGAAAAGATGCAAGAGTAGATTATTTCCTATTGACACCATTAAAGAACTGCTAAAATTTAAACCTATTGTCGTGTCTTCTTTAGAAAGCATTTATATGGTGTATCTGGTTTGTGTTTAAATGTTCATTCTCATGTTTTGATGTTGGCTACACAAAAAATACTTCCACTCAATTAAAAAGCTTTTTATGTCGTTTCTTTTAAGAAAACTAAAGACTGTCCCTAAGGAATGTTTTGAGCAATGTTCGAGTAGTGCAATCCTGAAATGTGCATCTAATGACCATTGTGCTTCTGTCTCTTCCACTGATCTTTAATGTTTACTTAGATGGGTTCATAGTTTTTAATGGATATGTTTGTTCTGCGCGCTGTCTATATTGAGTATTTTATCAGACTTCTGAAGTAAGCTATTTCTTTCCATGAATCTCTTGTAATCCTCTTGAATTACGGGGTTTTTTCAACTGTTACGAATTTGACAGATGTTTTAAAGGTTCACCAGGCACGCTGTGGTCAGACATGGCACTGAATTTCCTGTATGACGTCTTGGGCTCTTGGATTAATGCTTAAGGACAGGGGTTTAGCTCACCATTGCTGTGTGGCAGAGCTGCCTGTTTTGACAAGGGTAGGAGTGAAGGCAGGCTCAGTGCTGCTGCTAACTATTTTGGATGCACTTCTCTGTAAGAGGAAATTAGGTTTTTAGCACTTTATACACACATAATTGGGAGTTGCCACAGTGTGTTGAAAACAGCCCTGCAATTAAGTGAATTTACTGGCTCAGTGAATAGCCCTCTTAATTGCTGATACAGAGGGAAAGCAAGCC